TTCCATTCAATTTACCTGAAGATTAACCATGTAAACAGTCATAGAGTAAAATTTCAGGATGCAATGAATCTTTCAAATTGCCAAGATATACCCAGAAATGCTTAAACGTAGAGATGCTCTCATAGATTCCTTAAATGGTGAAACTCCATCTCTACTCAAAATAAAAAAATTAGCAGGGTGTGGTGGTGGACACCTGTAATCTCAGCTACTCGGGAGGCTGAGACAGGAGAATCACTTGAGCCCAAGAGGCAGAGGTTGGAGTGAGCCAAGATCATGCCACTGCATTCTAGCCTAGGCAACAGACTAAGAGAAGAAGAAGCAGACATTCTCTCTTTAATGAGATCTGAAGAAGTTATGGTAGATACAAAGCACTTGTTAGATGAGCAGACAATTCCCAAGAATTAACATTACTTAACATGCCTAACTAAAGTTTTCTCTCTCTTTATAATTTAACAAACATTTTGGATTACACTTGTCAAGTGCGGTGTGCTGCTCTAGGCCCTTTATAGGCATTAAATCAATTCCTTCTCATAACAACTCTATCAAGTAGGAACTATTATTATACACTCCTTGTTTAGGAAGAATCAAAACACAGAGAGATTCAGTGACTTGTCCAATGTTTCTCAGCTGGTGATAGGCAGAGTCTGGATTTAACTCTGAAGGATTTAACCCTAGAAGAGTCTCAGTCTAGAGTTCAAGCATGTAACCATTGTGTGATGCTACCTATGGCAAGATCCAGTCTGAGCTCCTGAGACTAGAATTCAATTCTCTCCTCACATTCAGGTTCCACACTTCATTCTAGCCTCCTATGCGTGACTCTTCATGAATATCACATTTCCTACCCCTGAAACATGCACTGTCCCAAGCAGATCTTACCCTTAGCTGCTGGTTTCTTTGTTCTTGCCTTCCCTCTTCCCTTCTGCCCAAACAAATCTTAGCAAGCCCAGCTCCTATTACATTTCCTGCACATAGAATCTGCCAGCTATGGAGACACCTGCTTCTCATGTATGCTTATAAAATATACCACCCAACCGGAAATTAACCAAACCAACTTGGGTGACTGCCTTTCTCTGTTGCCTTATGTCATTATTATTTAGAATTTTTATTTTAAAATTACTTATGTAAATATCTTTCTAAATAAAGTGCAATCTTCTCAGACTCAGCATTATGTATATAGCGTCAATATCCTCCATGCACTGTATAGTCTGTGTTCAATGACTACTGAGCTATTCTCTATGAATATTAAGGGCATCTATAACTTAAATTGCTCTTCAGAATGGTCAAGATGCCATTTGAAGTGGGCAGATTTCTGTTAGAGTCTCCATAGCAAAGCAATTTACTCTCCCCTCATGCCCTGGTGCTCTGACACTTTCCTCAAAAGAAGAAAAAGCTAAAGCGTCAAAAAATAAAGGCCAGATTGAATTTATCAAAATGGAAAGAAAAGAATATTTTAAGAATTGTCTTTATAAAATGTTTACCAAAACCATGAGAGCAGAGTTTTCTACTCAGGAATATTAGTCTTGCTGCTGTCCAGGAAGATGACCAAACTGTGTTGCCAGGGCACAGTGTTCCAGAGCAGTGGTTCTCAAATTTGCATGAGAACCACCAGGAGAGCTTGTTAAAATACAGCTTGTAGCTTCTCACCACTCACTGTCAATTTCTGATTTAACAAATGTAAGGTGGTCTAAGGATTTGCATTGAAAACAGGTGAAGTTTCCCATGTCGTTGATATGGGGACCACACTTTAAGAGCTCTGTGCTAGAGAAACTTGACCCAGGAAAGAAGGAAGACAATTACAATCATAAGACTATGTAAGAGCATTAGTCCATTACTCTTTCCTGATGTTTGTAAAGTAGCAAGGGAGGGAAGTGTGAAAGTAAAAGTTTATAAAATGATTTTTGCAGTGAAATATGTATTTCTGCAAATCACAAGGAGCTGCTCATTCTTCCACCTTCAAGATAATTTTAAATAAGTGAAGTGCTAAAATATGAGGTTTCTAAATGGAGTGTTTGCATGGCAGCTCTCATTAGAATAGAATATTTGTAAGGAACTGGTGACTTAGGTGTGTTTAGGGATGGTGGAATTGGGAGATGGCGGGAAGCAGACATCTCAAAATCTCATGGGTTAAAATTTCTAAGAATGCTCATGCCCTTTTGTTCAGTAATTCTACTTAGAGGACTTTACCTTATGAAAATAGTCAGAGATGCTTACAAAGATTTATGTTCAAAAATATTTACTGCAGCATCGTTTTCATAGCTCCAAACTATAAATACTTTAGGAGATTGATTAAGCATACTATAATATAGCCATATGAGTAAAAAGATACAGTACTTAAAATTATTCCTCTAAAAATATTAGAAGATAAAGAGATAGAATATTGGTATAAGAAAAATGGATGTGCTGTGGTCAAGAATAGGCTAAGGCAGACACCCAGTCCAACATGACTCAGCAAGTTTGGAGCACAGGTTCACAACTCTGCTCATTATGTAACCATGCCACATGAGGGACATTAGGTGATCACCCATGTGAGTTCACACTTGGCTCGGAGCCACTATTATTTGTAGAAGGTAGAAGGTATAATTATCCTGCTAACGCTGTACATATGGCTCCTGCCCAGACTCACTTGTGCCCAGAGAGAGAGTAATGCCATGCTGAAACTGTCTACGTTTCCTTGAGTGTTTTTCCAGCTACCTGCCACTCACCCACCGACTCCCCTTGGACCTCAGAACCTGACAATTGGTAAATGAAGAGGCACAATACTATAAAGCAAAATTGTAGACAACAAAATAGCATGAAAAGTATCAAATACACTTTAAAATATTTATTTTCTAGAGGCAGTTTGTGTAGTGGGTCTCTGAGTAAAAAATTTTCCCCTGCTTTTTAACTTTTAAATATTGTAATTTTTAAAACTGTTTTCGATGAATGTATATTATATTTGTAAATATAATGCATACAAGGAATCCCAATAGATGGTTGAGTATTTTTAAGCACCCTGTGTAACAGTGAATTTGAAGTTTTCAGAAGCAGAAGTGCTGTAATGGAGAGGTGTATCATAGCAGTTAATGCTTCTTCAATGCTAACTATAGGCTAGCAGTAATACATATTATCTCATAATTCTCTCATTATAGTAATAAATGTCATAAATGTTATGTTATATTGAAATATTGTGCTGGTGTATATTATACATATACACACACACTATAGTATTTTATATACTATTAATAATAGTACTATTACTAAACATACTTCACAGAGATGATACTGATCTAAGAATTGACTTTAAAATTCCTTTAAAAAAAGTAACTGTTTAAAAACACCCTTTAATGAGCATGGTGGTTTTAAAACATGTCCCTTAATTCTTTGGCACTCCACCCATTGAGAGGTAGTATTTATGTTCCTGTCCATTGAATCTGGGTTCTGTGATTTCTTGTCAAATAGAGATGATGAAAGTGATGCTGTCAGTTTCTGAAATAGGTCTTAAGAAACCGGCACTGTCTGACTCCTGTCTCTTGAAATAGTTGCTGTTGAAACCCAACCACCATGTTTTGAGGAAGCCCAAGCAACAAGATGCCCAAATGAAGAGGAATCAAGATGCCTTTCTCTTAGACCTAGCTAAGTTTCCAGCTGACAGCTAGCATCAACTTGCCAGTCATGTAAGTGTGCCATCTTGGAAGTGGATTCTCCCATTCCTAGACTGATGCTGTGTGAATCACAGCCAGACCTGCCATGCTGAGTCCTGCCTGAATTGCAGATTCACAGGCTGAACAAATGATTTTTGTTGTTTTAGCCACTAAGTTTTGAGGTAGAATGATTCTCAGCAAAACGTAACTAGAACAATGGGCATGCCTGTTTATGAAAGTAAGATCTTCTGGACATAGTGTAATGGGTCCGCATTTGTAGGGCTTCATTAGAAAGGTAAATTGCTTTATACAAGAAATGACAGGAACATGGAGGATTGGGAGAGGACTCTAGCACTTAGGAGTATCTGGAACACAAATGAACTCAACAACCAGTGAAAGTGATCTTGTGCCAGAGGTGGCATGGGGTTACTTAAGAATAGGAATGCCAGGTGTATGCTAATGCAGCTGTCTGCCATATGATGAACCACCTGCTGGTCTCCATCAAGTTACGTAAACCTTCAGCCAAATCCTGTCACACATACCATCCCTGTGTTTGGAATACTCAGGATTGGGTGAGTGTGCTGCAATTAAGGCTGGCAGGGCAATGCGATGCAGAGAAAATTGGTGTGTACTTACACAAAGTGGAGACTGTAGTTTGAGAATTCATTAGAAAAAGGAGCTGGAAGCCAGAGGTGACTCAGGAACATATAAGACCTCAAACTGTCCTTAATTTCCTTTCTTGCTCTATATTCCCCAACCATTAGACAGACGTGAGGAACCCTGGATGTCTTTCTCTGTGGAATATGGGTTCAAGTGCTTTGAAGCCTTAATCTTAAGACTTATAGTGATCTCAATTGACTAGCAGATTCTTTAAGGGCCATGTTAACAGCATTAATCTTCCCTGTGCAGTAGGTTTCCAAAATGTATGTCTATTGATACGTAGTTTTGAGAGGAATGACCACATTACTTTCGGGGGCATCAGTGTGGGCTCTCAGGGACACATATCATCTGTGTTGCTTTTTGGTGTCAATGGAGTGTCAGACACCTTGACAGGTGCTCCTCACAATGCTACTTAATGAGGCAAGCGCAGGTCAGACTCCTTAGGTTGGCCAAAATACTCTGAGTACAGGAAATAAAATACTCTGGGTACAGGCAGAAATCAATACCAGACTTCTGACCTCCAGAGCTATAGGATCATAAATTTATGTTGTCTTAAGCCACTAAACTTGTGGTCATTTGTTGCCACAGCACTCAAAAATGAGTAGTATCTGGATGTGAAATACTAATAGAGTATTTTAATTAAATGAAGGATTTAAGCTAGAGAAAATAAAACTATCCATAGCTTGCTGTATGAGTTAAAATAAAAACAAACAAAGCATGTTTTCTTTGAAATTACTTTTACTCGGGAAAAAAAAATAAAACATTTTTTTCGAAAACAGTCAAAATAAGAGACCATTACACGAGATTGCACAATCATTTACAAATGCTGGCAATTAAAGGTAGGTTGACTAGTCTTACAGAATCCTTGTCTAAATAGTTTACTCCATATGCAATCCACTGAAAATGTGATTCTCAGCGCTGTTGAGATTCAAAGTCCTCTTGACTGGATTCAAAGTCTCCTTGGCCAAGCTCATTGCATTCTACAATTGAATCACATCAGACCTCAGGTAGAACCTTTTCCACCAAGATTCCTATATTGAGAGCAGTTTAAAATTTCATATTCTTCCCATTTACCATCAGCTTCTTTCATAGTCAGGGGTACAACATTATCCAATGTCCTTCCCCATTAATTACACAATTTACTCTCCTCTGTTCCAACGTAACTTCTACATCGTTCACATTCTTTTCAACCACTGCTGTCTTTACTATACAAAAGTATGATTTATGTGTAAATACAGAAACACACATCTTCAAAGTGGGTAAAAAAAGAAAGGATCACCTGCTATGGATACAGGTACGGTAGGTTATTCAGGGAGCCCTGGGAAGGACTTTTTGCTATTAACAGTAGCTGTAAAAAGCAATTATGAAACTTAAAAAAAAGAAAAAGAAATCAAATTAGATGTGTGTGTTTTATTCTGCACCATTATGAATTAAATAGGAATAAATCTAACAATGTGCTCTAGTTGCAACATGAAACACTGAATGTTAACAGCTTACAAACGCTGCTCTGAACATTCCGTTCTCCTCTGAGACACAGGACATACAAAGGAGTTCAATTTTCAGACGCTTCCACCGGGCCTAGTACTCACACGTGCCACAAAAGGACATGTTTCTTTCCCGAGAGGACCAGAGTCCACAGTTCTGATTAGATTCAAGCTTAAGGCACCAATTAGCAATTGCTACATGCTTTATTAATGATTTTATGCACCTGTGAGGTCTACTTAGGACCCAGAAGTTAGTTAAGAATATATAAGCAGTGTCTTGATAATATATATCTTATTTCTATATATATCCTTAAAATTATGTGAAAGCCTAACATATTTTGTGAATTTGATTTTTATAAGCAGTTTTCTCAAACAAACTTACACAAAAAATTCCCCCCTCAACAGTACTGGTAAAATACAGGGCACCTTTTTCTTTCAAGTATTTGGGTGAAATAGCATACCCTGAGAATTTGGGGTGCAAACCTACACCTTGTAAACTGTAGAATGAAACTCCTCAAGCACCACATAAGAAAATGTATACCATGATAGTTTTTAAACACAAAGACTATTATTGAATGTTGTTTTCCCATGCACATATACATACTTATCATGAGATTATAGTCAATCCACTTAGGAATCAAGTGTCCTGTCCTGCAGTCCAAAGTATTATTACAGGTAACATGAGCATTCAATTTGTAGCAAACACAGACTTTGATTTCCATGAAGTATGAAAACAATTAAAATGTATCTTTTTAAGAGGCGAGGATGATAATGTCAAATTTGAAAGTAAGAAAAGGGAATTTATATCACCAGATAGTTCCAGTGATATAAGGATGTATTAGAAATGTGTGTCAATAGTTGAGATGTGTTACAAAGGTGTAAAGTGTAACTTGTTTTAGCTTATTTACTCCATGATAAACGGACATGTAGAGAGCCTATCTGCTATGTCATTACCTGCATATCTGGGCCTTCCCTTAATCCTGAGGGCAATTTCAGTGAGTACTTTAAAAAAATATACATTCTAGTGAATTAAATTTTTATATGGTTATAAATGTGTTTAGTTTTCCAGAAACAATTGAAATGGGGCATATTTCAAATATTTTATCAAGAAGTACAACGTGGCTCTTCTGGAAAACTGAGTCACACATATAACCCTAAGAGGATATTATGAAAGCCAGACTCTGCAATTCTGACTAGATTCAAGCTCAAGGCACTATTTAGGAAATGTTTTACTAGTGGTTTTATGGTAATAAAACATAAAAGGGAAGTTCAGTAGCTAAAGAGACATTATTAGGATAATAGTTTTACGGGTCAGGTTTCATAGACTCTTGATTGATTCCACTTGAGTTGTAAAAGACAGAGTATATCACTTCATTCAAATATTCGTGCAACCTCCAGAAATGACAAAAGAATAAAAATGAAGAGTGAGATTTACCTCATGCCTGTGAGGTGAATAAGTGCTGATAATTAATAATTTTATGCGACTCATGACAAATGAAGAAATTTTAAGCAGAAACCAAATATTGCCAATGATTAAAATAACAATAGGGCATTTAAGAAATTACCAGAATACTTTATCTTTAAACAAATTGGTAAATAAACGGAGATTCTTAAAAGAAAAAAAAAAAAAAAAAGCCTGGGAAAAACCTTCAAATTATTCCTTTAAAAAATAAAACATTAGAAACATAAGAAATGTTTTAATGTAACATTTGCCAAGTATATATCGACACACTTATTATGACAAGCTAAATATCTGTTCAATCAAGTCTTCAAGACTCACTGTGAACACTCACTCAGACAGCCTTCAGAATTGGGTTACAACTGAGACAGTACTTAATGTCGATAAAAGATTCCATGATTTGGATTCTTGACATCTCTTCAAATCTGCGTCATGGGGAACAAGTGCTATAACTCTAGGTTACTGCTATGGGACAGTGAGGCTAGGGTTGGAGTGAATCAGAGCCACTGAATTAGTGCCATATTCTTCTCTAGTATCCCAAACGGATCACTCTTCAGACTCCGAACAATCCATGAGAGACAGGAGTATGCAACTATGGAGGGAATTACTGACGAAAAGAAAAATGCTATACACCCACAAAAATAATTCGATTCTTAAAGGAAAATAGATATTTTATATCTTTCTGAAACTAGGTACTTAATTTTAAATGCAATCATTGGCTCTCCAGTATTTCAAGCCATTCTATTTTAAGGCAACAAATAGTGTCATGACATTGTACAAATGGGAAAAATAAAGCACAAACATTAAAACCACCATTTTTCACAATCACATTTGAAATCATGCCAAACCCAATAAAAGAACACATAGAGCATAACCAAGAGAATGAATAGGCTTGGCTGGTATATGATTCAAAGAGCAGACCATCATACTGAAAACTTAAATATGTATTACAACTCAGCCAGCTAGTCTTGATATTCCAAGAATCTGTAAAGAGATTCGTAATTCAAATTACTGATTTGCTGGCTTGGTTTACAACAGAGCCAATCCCATTCTGTTGCATGTTTTGACTGATTGATGGGAACAAAGGAATTGTTTGCCTAGTCATAAGTGCAGTGGGGAAGGAGGTGAATAGAAAGCTTATATCCTGTGTTGAAGTATAAAAAGAAATAATCGTAAAGGGAAAAAATGCAATCATTCAATCAACTTAACAAAATTAAAATAAAAACTGCCTTAAGAGAGTTGTTCAGGAAGACATAGAAACTTACACACTTGGCTTATAAGAAGCAAAAATTAAGAATAACACATGTCGAAGAAGTTTTTCAGATGAATTAACTCTTAGTGCTATCACAACGCAAATTCTGGATTAAAGAAGAATAGTCCATCTTTTTGTCTTGCTCCTATAAAACAAAAAAATAGTCAAGGAAAAGATTGCTAGTTCTAAAAGCAAATTTCACTTTTATGAAGCAAGACAATTTTTAAATACATTTTATTTAAGTATTTGGCTAATTTCAATGTTAATAATGAAGTTAACATTTTTAAATGTGCTTGGCAAATGTGCTTATGAACTTACTAAACACTATACCAACTTTGACAAATTGCCCCAAATGGAACTTGAATCAAATCTAATCAACTCTTCAAAACTGATTTTAAAGCTAAATGTTCAATTTCATTGAAATCATTCATAGCAAAGATGACATAATATAATAGATATGTTTCTAATATTAGCATGCAGAAATATTTAAGCTAAATGGAAACATCTGAAGTTTAGTTATCAATCTAATTAAATGAGTAAACTCTATACTGAGAATTCTTGTAAAGCAAATGACTAGTACCTAAATTATGTGGAAATTCACATAGTATGCTTTGTTCAAAATGAGGTGTACTGGTTAGAATCTAATTTAGTTAAATCCACTCTAGAACAGTATTGGTATGTTCAAAAGCTTACTGAAAGTTAGCCATTTTGTCTACCTCCATATAAGTTCTAGTATATCTACTAGAACTTTGCCTGAGTAAAGTTCTTAGGCAAAGTTGGTATTTTTAACATTTGGGAGTTGATACTTGAACATAATATTATGAAGACAGAAATAAAGTGGCCTACAGGTAATATTTGTTAGGGATTAAGAAGACTCATATGAAAAATAAGCTCCAAGAGGTATCAAATAACAGCTAGCTAGGCAATCGTATGTACTCAGAGTAGCAAGGCAAGGGACATTTTAATTCTATCATCTAGAAACAAACCTGTTTAAATATGTGTTTAAAAAAGAAGTCTATAAGAATAATTATGTTTTTAAGCTCATATGTATATACTTCATGTTTATTTTATTCTCTTGTATTTTATATTGAGGAATGACCTTCAAGATAAAAGTGACTGTTGTAAATTTGGAGACCTCTCTTTTGATAAATGTAAGTTTTTCTACCTTAGGACATAAAAAGCAGCAATAGGAAAAGGAAATTTAGTTACAAGAGGGAGAAAAGAAAATATGAGACTCAGAAGAATAATTATAACATGGATTCTGGGATTTGACAACAACTCTGGCTGAGTCCTATCACAAGGCAAGATTTGCAGAGACTTCCTGGACAGTGAGAAGACATTTAAGGGAGACAGAGAGAAAAGAAAAAAAGTCAAGATAGAGTTTGCATTGTAGGATGGTAATAGTCTGAGAAAGGAAGGAGAAATCTGATTATACAATCTACTAGGATCATATTTAGGGGTTGATAGTACAGATAGTGCCTTTTTGGATAGTCACAGAATATCGCTTCTGCTTACATTAATTTCAGAAGAATTTTGTTTGAAATTGAAAAGTAATAAAGTTGCTCCCCATTCCTTTTAAAGAAAAAATAATAAAAATTGCCAATATAGCTAACCTGTTAGAGGCCTCACAAACATTTACTGCAGCAGAATGGATCATGAAGAAGTCAGTAAAGATGAAGGGATGACTACGCCGTGTCACCAGGGAGTTTAGCTGGATGACTTCCCATGGTTTTAGGACCAGAACACATGACAGATTTGAACAGGGATGCTGGGTCAGATTTTCCCTTTCTCCACGCCAGCCTGTGCCCAGACAGAGAGGAAAATCACCACACACAGCTGGCAAGCTATGCCTAGAGTTGTATAATATTCTGGAAGGTCTTGGGGGATACTAGAGTACCCTGACACACAGCCAACTGGCCTGCCCTGACAGATCAGCCAGCTAGCTCAAAGAGGACTGCAGAACTGTGGACGCTGCCTCCAGTTTGGGGAAACACAGAGCAGTCCTGGGCACAGGTCTACGATACTTACCTTGGGAATCTGCACTGATAAGGGCTGATTTTCTGCTCTGGTGAGGGTCCCTGAGAAGATAAGGGGATTCTGAGGCATTTATGAGGATCTAGTCTCAAGGAAGCTTGGACACTTACTACATTGCCATGTGCTATATGCTATGTCACCTGTCATGACTTTATAATTCAGTCTTCACTACTCTCCTGAAATATATCCCCATTTTACAGGTGAGGAAAATGAGATTCAGTGACAGCAAGTCACTTGCCTAGACTACACTGTGACTAGTAAGTAAGACTAGTCACTGACACTAGTAAATAATAGTATTAGAATCTGAGTTGGGGTTGCCTGACTTCAAGGCATACATGCTTCTGCTTTAGGAAAAGCCACACAGCTCCCCTTCAACTAAAATGCTTTAACCCACTAGTAACCAAGAAGATTTCACTCCTACCTTTATAGCCCACATTCTACTGTTTTACATAAACAAAAATTATCCCACCACTAGGAGCTACAGCTTTTAGGAGTCCTTAAACTGGCTCAGGTTTCTTTTTGCATACAGTGTTCTAAGGATAGCTAGTTGTTTAATCAAATGAAAAACACATAGAAGTTTGGTATATGCTGAACACTGACAGAGTCAGGGTCAGTTTCTTACCTTATTCCCTTCCCCTGCCTTTTCCCGTAAACCACAAAACACACACACACGCCCCCTCCACAGCAGTAAAATGGCCAGAAGATTCTATTTCCTCTGAATGAAACAGAAGTTTGGAAAATTAGCAGCAAGGCAGCTAGTCAAATTCCAACTGTGTTCTCTTTCCCCATCCACAAGGACTTTAATGTTTCATATAATTAATCCTTTAGCAGACTGATGTGGCCTAGAGGAAAAATGCAATGGTTGAAAAATTTTGGGGAAGTTAGGTAATAAGAAAGTTATGGCACAAAAAAGAACTGGGACCAGAGCGCAGAGAATAAGACAAGTAGATAAACATGGGAATGCTCTATAAGAGCAGGGGCCACGGAGCTTGAAGTGCCTGGACTTCAATAGCTGTTGATCTGGGACACGTTAATGTTTCATTTGTCAAACAGAGATTAAAGATAGTACCTACTCATGTTAAGAATTAAACGGCATGATGTTAAGTCTTGGTATATACTAAGTGACTAATACACATTAGTTATTACTTTTCACTTTTTATTAATTTTAGATAAGTTAAAAAAGAAAATATAAAGGCAATATAATTTAGATAAGTTAAAAAAAGAAAATATAAAGGCAATAGAAGAAAGATAAGTTAAAAAAGAAAATAAAAAGTCAATAGAAAAAAGATACAAAATAGTAAGCTAGAGGAAAGCCATAATGCAATTAGAGGGAAAAGGAGAAAAGAAAAGGCAAAAACAAAAAAAAAAAGACATTAAGAAGATAAAACAGCAGCTATATATAATAACTGGGATAGCATGTCACCATCAAGTTTGTGGGAAAAATAGAAATGAATTTATCAATTCATGAAGGTAATTATGGAATGAAGTGAAAATAAAATGTCTAGCTTATAGCCTGCAGATTAGCTACCTGGCCTGCGTGCGCTTGGGGCAGCAAAGTTCCTGTCCCTTGGATGATGTGCCTGGGCTGGCTGCAAGTACAGTGCTTTAAGAACATTCAGCGGAGGGAGCCGGAGGACCCACCGAGTCCTACCCTTTAAGCTGTCTAATCTTAGATAAAAACAAACTACAAAAGAAGTTAGGAGAAGGGAAGAAGCAAGGTGGTATGGCATTGAACTAAATCAAGTTGAAGTGAAGGGAAAATGAGAAACCCCAATAAGGAATAAGGTGCCAAAAAAAAAAAAAAAAAAAAGCAAAAGATGGAAAATAAATTATCAAGCAAATGGCAAGGGAAAAAAGAGAGACTATTGGGACAGACACGAGGAAGTAAGTCAATCAAAGAAAAGTGGCCTTACGGAGAAAAGGAAAAGTAGAAATGGACAGAAAGAAGAAAACACCTGTGCACCACTGCACTCCAGCCTGGGCAATGTAGCAACCCCACCCCAGAATGGGAAAAAAATTTTGCAATCTACCCATCAGACAAAGGGCTAATATCCAGAATCTATGGAGAACTCACACAAATTTACAAGAAAAAAAAAACATCAAAAGTGGGCAAAGGATATGAACAGGCACTTTTCAAAAGAAGACATTTATGCAGCCAACAAACATATGAAAAAAAGCTCATCATCACTGGTCATCAGAGAAATGCAAATCAAAACCACATTGAGATACTACCTCATGCCAGTTAGAATGGCGATCATTAAAAAATCAGGAGACAACAGATGCTGGAGAGGATGTGGAGAAATAAGAATGATTTTACACTGTTGGTGGGAGTGTAAATTAATTCAACCATTGTGGAAGACAGTGTGGTGATTCCTCAAGGATCTAGAAACAGAAATACCATTTGATCCAGCAATCCCATTATTGGATATATACCCAAAAGATTATAAATCATTCTATCATATGACATATGCACATGTCATATTTATTGCAGCACTGTTCACAAGAGCAAAGACTTGGAACCAACCCAAATGCCCATCAATGATAGACTGAATAAAGAGAATGTGCCACATATACACCATGGAATACTATGCAGCCATAAAACAGATAAGTTCATGTCCTTTGCAGGGACATGGATGAAACTGGAAATCCTCATTCTCAGCAAACTGACACAAGAACAGAAAACCAAACACCACATGTTCTCACTCATAAGTGGGTGTTCAACAATGTGAACACATGGGCACAGGGAGGGGAGCAACACACACTGTGGCCTGGGGGGTGGGAGGCTAGGGGAAAAATAGGGGGGGGGGGGGGGTTTGGGGGGGGGATAACATTAGGAGAAATACCTAATGTAGATGACGGGGTGATGTATGCAGCAAACCACCACCATGGCACGTGTATACCTATGTAACAAACCTGCACGATCTGCACATGTACCCAGAACTTAAAAGTATAATTAAAAAAAAAAAGAAAGAAAGAAAAAGAAAAAGGCTCTGGAATGGAATATTTAGGTTTCAAGTCCCAGTTCTATGACTAAGGAAAAGTCACTTATCCTCTCTGAGTGCTAATTTCCTCTTGCAATTTTAATACAAAGATACTGGCTTTGATGATCTAGGGACCATTCTAGGGCCCTCTTAAAATACTCTAATAAAACAGCTCTCCCTGAATCTAGCCCTTACTCTTCCTACTTCAGTTGCTGATGCATGGGGCCCTAATCAAGGGGTAGAAGTAACTCTGAGGAAGTAAATAGAAAAGAAAAACCAACAATGCAGGAGCAACATAAAACACAGGGAGAAATAAAGACACAAAGTCATAAAAAAAAGGGACATTCAAATGAAACAAAATAATTGCAATTCTCTTAGGCTGATATCTACTATATTAACAGGCATTGTGCCAATGAAAATTTTCTTTTGATAATATCAGATATTTATTTTATCTTTATGCCCTTGTAAATAATATTTAGTATCATCTCAATTAAAATCTTTAAACAAAAATATAGCATCTAATATATATTTTTATCTAACATCTGGATATGTCAGGAAGGAAAAAATATAGCCATCTGCCTCCAATAACAGAACACTAGAAAAAAAATCATTCAAAAGTAGTCAAAGATCCTGTGGAGGTGGACCATTAAAAACCAAAATAGACAGACAAAAACATCTAACAACAGAGTAAAAGAAAGTGGTGAAGTTTTGCAACTGGTGTTCCTATCACACTGGTGTGTTGCAGTTGGGTTACTGCTGCAGTCATCTGGGCACTTGGGTCCCAGGTGGTAAACAGCCCTGTCCAGTAATCACAATGTGAGACGGGAGTACTAAATAATAAGAAAATGAATAATATTATTATCTTTTTAGATGGGCTGTGGCAGTGGCAAAGTCTGAGAAGCACTGGAATACTGACCACAGGATGAAGAGAAGTGAAAAAAACCCACCTCTATATATATATATATATATATATATATATATATATATTTTTAATAAAGGAACATTTATAGCAGAATAATCAGAAAGAGATAACAGCAGCTGTTTATGTTCAAATATATAAGGGGAGGAAAAAAAGTGAAGTTCCCTGTTGCAATGTGGTGCTAAAAATAGATGATGAAATATTATTTGAACTGGAAGGAATCTTAAAGGTTATGACAGTTCTTGAACACTTGTTTTGCAGTTTTGTGTGTAAAAGTCTGTTTCCTGCTGAAGTATAGGCCCCTCACTTGTGTTACTTGTTTATGGACCCACCATGGAGTACACAGAGGCTGACAGAATGTAGGTATGTAATCCATGCTTGTTGAATTAGTGCATTTTGTTGAAACATTCATTTTACAAATGTCCAGAGAGGCAAATGGAAACACAGATGGTTAATGGCCAAATGCCACCAGAGAGCAGATCCCGGGTGTCCTTGCTGCCAGTTCAGAGCTCATTACACCTCCTTTACTGTCCTTTTTTTGCTCCATGCATCACACCAAGAAACACAGAGTGTTCTGCAGGGAGCATGGTGTGGCCCAGGGGTTAAGAGCTGGTTCCACAGGTCCTGGTTCTGTCACTCTCTGGGACCTCAGCAAAACCATTTTTTTCTGAGTCCCAGTTTTCTTCTCTTGTGGTCAGATAAAATCGTTTACACAAATTCTCATTTGAAAGGGGAGCATAAGCCTACCCTACCTCAAAACAAATATCTGCAGTAAGTGTGGTTTTTAAAGGTAATTTTGACCTGAAATCACACTTCAAAATTTCTCACACTGACCATCTATATCAGCATGTTGAAGATCTGAACAGTGCTTACATTTTTTTTTCTCAAAGAAAAGAATTACACACTTAAAAATATCCATCTGGCTTTTCTTTGGAGAGTGGTACTGAATGTTCAAAAAGGTGAGTTTTGAAGGATTTTTAATTCATTATTTCAATTTGGCTAAGTCAACTTTTACCTGCGTACAAAAAGCTAATCTTTAGTTTCCAACCAGATTTGACCTTTTCATCATCTTTAGGGCTTTATTTACTAAAATAAAGGTTGTGCTTTCAAAAAGGGAAAAAATTTTAAATATCACTATTCAACTCCAAAATGCTAAAAACTCGAATATATATCTGTGTTTACTGGAAACAATCCGAAGTCTAATCTCGCTAGACTCAACAGACAGGAGAAAGGCCAAAGGCAGCTGCTTAAGGGGACACTGTGCAAGTGTGTGCCCCATCCTCCCTCCTCTCCTCCCCGTCCTCCCTTCCCCTTGCTTCTGCACCTACACAGCTTGCACAAAGGCCTCATAGCATTAGCTGGTCCAAAATAGCCCTAGGTAAACACAGCACCTGTCTAAGCGATTAAAACACTTTTGCCTATTAGCTACTCTTTTCCTTCTGCGAAACTAATTCTCTAATTCTGAGTCTCCTACCCAAGCATACTGATTTTTTTTTTTTAATTTTTACACTAAACAAAAGGTGGCTTATTTGTCTTTAATTTTCTCCCTCCTCTCTTTATCTACACAGTGCCTGTTGTAGACTCTCCCAGGAGAAGAATTTAAATAATGTATGTCTAGATTGCAGCTAAAATGAGGCTTGCGCTCTCAACTGAATTCTTAGAGAAAGATTTAAGGGTTTTTTGAACAGTGCCTAATGTTGTCTTACAGGCCAGTAACTGTAATAATATTCAATAACAATCCCTTAATTTGAACAAAATTTATAGCTTGCAGTACATTGTTATATCATCTGATACTCAGATGCATGTTTAGGGTTAGATATTATTGTCCCCACTGGAGATGACACATAAATGCTAGAGAGTTTGTCACGCCCAAGATCACACAGCTGGTGAGAAGCTGTGTGACTCCAAAAATCCAATGAACCTAATTCCTGATTGAAGCCCCTTTTACTGCACAAAGCAACAATGTTCCTCTGTTCCTTTTCCATTATAACAGAGAAAAGAGAAATAACTTATTTTTATTATAGAAGCATAAATAGGATTTCTCTTCTTTCTATCTCTTTTTTTGGTTCAAAATATGATCTTACCAAACCCTGAAAGTCCTAAGAAGCATTTATAATAGTAACCTTTCCCAATCTGAAGAGAACAGGAGTATAGGGGCAAGTTTGTCCCCACAGTTCTGACACCTTTACGCTCCTATCTGAAGGTGTCTTTGCCCTGTCATGTGTTTGACCTGAAGTGTCCTGGTTTGAACAAGTAAAGCTCACTCTTCCTATCAAGTTCCACGTACTGTATTTCCAGGGATTCCTGTTTGGGCATTTGGATTAACCTAGATGTCAGGAATCTATTTACTCTGATTTCATTTACCTAGGGGTAGGTGTGGAAGTTGATTCTTTTCTGAAGAAAGAATGCAGACATGAAAATAACAGTCCTGTGGGATTAGCAGCAGAGTGTAATGTGTTCAGTCTGAACAGGACTGGATTAAACACAGCAACTCCATTCAAGCAAGGAGTAACTGCAGCTCCAGAATCTGCCCCATGCTCCATAGAGATCAAAGTGTGTGTCAAGGTGTGTGTGTGTGTGTGTGTGTGTGTGTGTGTGTAAGATATATTAAAGACCTTGAAATCATCGTAAGAACGTGTTCTGATCATCTGAAAACTGAAAAATGAGAGCTTAAAAAATATAGCCCCTTTATATAAGCTATTTCAAAAGGAAGATACAAGAGGGGAAAGAAGATTTTCTGCAGATTTTAGAAAATGGTCCTAACAAGAAAACATCAGTCTTTGCTTCTTCATACTTCTGGGGAGCAAACAGATTGAAGGGGTTTCCAATGATCTCCTAGGATGTTCAGTTCGTCCTGTCCCTGGGGCTGTCATGAACAAAGAGTGAGTCTAACTCCACAAAATCCAAGCTGAGTTTTTGTTTCTTTGCCCTGCCATCATTTACCACAGGCTGAAGAGACAGACTCAAGGTTCACTTCCCTTCTACTGTCAGGTGGGAAAAAACACTCAGGCAATCTGAAAAGGTCAAAGGGCAAAGGTTGACCTTAGGGACTTAAATCTGGGGAGAGGGGGAATCCTGGCAAGAAAATTATCCCCTTCATAAATTGGATGCAGGCTTGTTCTATTCTGCCAAAACATCCATTTCTAGAGACAGCATCCTTTGTTGTAAATCTCTCACTTCAAACACAAAGAAAAAAATATTGTTCTTACTCTCTTAAACCTTATAATGGAAGTGAAATTCACTTACCAGCAGTTGTTTCATTCCACTTCCTGGTGGCTGCTCATCATCTGTGTTCTACCACAAAGCTCATGGTGGTGCCATCAAAGGAAGGGGGAGCAATGATCCGTGGCCCCAGGGGCTGCGAAGTAATGCTGATGACAGGCTTGCCATGCAGCTGGGCAAAGCCCTTGGCCCCTACAAGCTGGGATGTGGCTGCTGGGGCTGAGGAGGATAAGGAGACTGGAGACTGACCAGAAGCCATGAAGTATGGAGCCTCAGTGAACGTTGCAGCTGCCTCTTTGCTGGAAGACTCTGTCGCCATTGGGGAGAGCTCACTGCCTCCTGGAGTGCGAGCAATTGGTGTGGGCTGCAGGGCATTGGGGGGCAGCACGGTGGGCAGAAACCCAGGATAAATCATGTAGGTGGGTCCATAAGCCCCAGGACTCAGGGCCAAGGGAGACACAGGGATGGACATGGGAGCCACAGCCTGCTGCTGGGAGGTCATGGGCACATCCACATACTGCCCTGTCTCAGGGTCAAACAGTCTCCGGGTCATGGGCTGTACTGGTGTATCCACCAGATAATACTGGCCAGTTGTCACATCCAGGAGCATCTTACGCTGGGTCTGCTGAGGCTGTGGCTGCTGGAAGGGGTCTGTGGGGACTGGAGCTGGGCCTGCAGGTGCTGGGGCAGGCATGCTGGGTGGGGAGAAGCAGAGGACCTGGGGCTGGGCTCCCTGTAGGGTGAAGGGCAGCGGCGGTTGGTGGTAGATGGTGGTGGGGGGATGCTCAGGGCTCTGTGGCCCTGGGGGGGCAGCTACTGTCTCCCGGGGGTTGTCAGGTTTAGTACGCCAAGCTGGTCGACTGGTTCCACTAACCTGAGAGCCTTTGGAGCTACTGGGGACCTGACTGCGGGCACTCAGTGGGGGTAAACTGCAGAGAGTGGCAGCTGAGGAGTTGGGAGGTCCCTCCCTGGAAGCCCCAGGCCTGCCAGGAAGTTCCCCTGCAGCAGAGCTTCCTTTAAGAGGGATGGTCAGGTAATTCTCACAGTCACTGTTGCTCTTCTCCAAATTGCTGCCACTTTTCCTGTTGGTCACCTCATCAGGAGGTGCCCGGGTGGCCGGAGAGATCTTGAGGGACCGGAGTCCCTGAGATTTGATGCCCTTAGCTGCTGAAGGACTCTCTGGAGAAGGTCCTTGTGGGAACTTCCCAGCGACACCCCCAGTTTTCTGGATGCTGCTGGCACTCACTGTGAACACGTTCCGGTTGCTGGGGAGTGGTGGGAGGGGTTGCAGGGTTTGGGTTCTCTCCACATCCTTGTGGACTGGGGGAATGTAGAGAGATCGGGGTCTTTCCCTGGCCAGGTTCTCAAAGGCCGCTGCCCTTGCAGACACACTCTCAGCGCTGGGGTTGGAGTTCCTCCGCTGCAGGCGTTCTATGGGTGCCCCTCGCAGGACCACACCAGCTTTGTTTCCTGTGCCCCGCCCTTCTACCTCACCCAGCCGTTTGGACAACCTGTCCTGGTCTCCCTCAGCACCCACTACCCCTTCCCTCTCCTCACTGGCAATGAGTGACAGCACGTGGCTGTCCATCATCATAGGCAAGGGGTCACTTTTGCGCTTCCACTCGTTTCTGTTGAAGCTGTACAACTCTTCCATGGACCTCACCGCTGCAGTCAGCTTCTCCAGGGCATTCCGGGCTGGCTTTGTGGCTTTCCCTTCCTCCTTGACCTCCTCCTCCTTGAGTTTCTCTGGGGTCTTCTGGGTGGAAGCTTTGGAGACAATCTTGAGCACAGGCAGGTATGAGCCCTGCTCGGGCTTATTGGGGGCAATGGTAGCCACAGGCAGCCTGCCAGATGCCCTGTGAACCAAGACTGTCCCTTCTGGGGAGGAGGAATTCAAGACTCTGCTGCCGCCCCCTTTGCCCATGCTCTCCCTGGGCTCTCGGTCCATGCTGTCTTCCCTCTGGTTCACTACAGCCTGGCATGTAATCACCATGGGGGACAGGGATCCGGATCCGCCAGCTGCTGCAGACAGCTGCCTGGGTTTGGGTCCAGTCAGTCCCTGCTCTGGGGTAACACTGCCCTTGTCACTGCTATCCCCTGATCCTTTGATTAGTTTCCTGACATCTCTCACCTGGTGGAGGGGGCCTTGAGTCTTGGACTTGTCTCTGATGTCTCTCACCTGGAAATGGGGCACTTTTTCTAGGTTGTCCCCGCGGAAGAGTTTCTGCTGTGCCCTGCTGTTGTCCTCGATGGTCTTGAACAGGTTAGAGGCGCTGCCACCGGCCAGCTTGGGCGTGAGCAACTTGGCAATGTTGAAGTCTGAGCTCGGCTGCTGCACACTCCCCAGCCGGATCTTGATTTCAGGAGCCTTGGGTCTGATCACTGCTGTGGAGGTGGCCTGGGCGGCAGGGTACTTGGTGGCCTGCTTCCCCGGCTGCTTGTCCTTGGGTGTCTGCTGGATGTTGGGGACGAAGAGGCGAGACATGATGGTGTTCTTGCTGGCGGAGATCTCCCCGAGATCAGCCCGCCAGTCGCCTCCTTTGGGCAGCTTCAGCTTCCGGATGGGGGCTTGCTCCTCCCGCTTCTCGGCCTCTTTCTCCTTCCATGACCGGAACGCACTGTTCTGACTGCGGAGGAAGATGCCCTTGACGGTCTCTGAGGCACTCTTTTTAATTTCACACACTTCTGTGTGTCCATCGGTGACGTTCTGGCCGGGGCCTGCGCTGCGCTCCCGAGGGGTACTGGCTTTGAAGATGGGGGATTTGGTGCCGGCCACGGATCCCTCTCCGCCCGCATCGGACACGCTGACCACGGTGTACTCGGAGCCGGCCTCGGAGTGGCGAGAGCTCTGCCTCTGCAGGCCTCTCTCTCGCTGCCTCTCACTCCCGGGGGCGCCCTCCGTCTCCTTGGAGGTGCCTGCGAGGTGGTGGGATGTATCTGTGACTTCTCCCCTCTCCATTTTGAACTCGTGTTCCCGCTGCATCTTCTTGGAAATGACATTTTTGAGCAGACTGGAGGCGAACTTGGACTTCTGGGGGCCGTCGGCGCGGGAGGAGGGCTTGCTGACCTCGGAGGTCTCGGAGCCGTCGTCCGTGTATGCCGAGCCGGGACCCTTGCCCGGGCCTTTGGTGGCCCTGCCGGGCCCAGGGGCCGAGCTGGCTTTGCTGTCACTGCGTAAATTCAGGGGTTCCAAAAGGGTGACGACGCGGGAGCCCGTCTGGACCTGCTTCTGGAAACACAGGGGCGTCTCCACGTGTTTGATTTCCCCCTCGACTTTGCTGACCACGAACTCCAAGGCCTTGGTCTGAGACTTCTTGGACTGGATGTAGAGCTGGTCGGCAGTGGCCCGGGCCCCACTGCCCTTCCTCAGACCTGCAGCCACAGAGGCCGCGCTGCTCCTGAGGAGGCTCTGCTCCACCCTGGCCCCAACACCCCCACATTTTAAGTCCAGGAAGGTCGACCAGCGTCCAAAGCCCACCTCGGAGAGCGTGGTGGAGGACTCCCGCGAGCTGATGTTCAGAGCCTCAAAGTACGGGTAAGCCAGGCTCCGGAAGGCCCGGGAGGTCAGGTTACGCACCTCTTTGTCCGCATCGTCCAATTCGCTCACGGCACTGGAGGCTCCGCTGGAGTAGTCCACCAGCTCCTTTGCCCGGATGGCCCCGCACCTGGTTTGCAGGCGAGCAGGGACAGCAATGAATTTCTTTGCATGGTCCTGAGCCACGGCTGCAGCCGGGTTTTGCTTCAGCAAACTTGAATTGTGTTCAGCAGCTGTGGAGACGCGGAGGCTCATGTCGCCTTCATGCTTGGCAGCATAAATAATGTTTTGCTTTGCATGCACGTTGCTAGGCTCATTTATAGCCCGGGAAGCCGGTTTGATTGATAGGAGGATCTGGCTTGCTGCACTCCCACAGCTGCTTGCGGCGGCTGCTGCCCCTGAAGCTACCTCCGGGGTCTCGGGCACGGACTCACTCTGGGTGGCAGTGCCAGGCCCAGTGGGTGGGGGAGTGGGGCCACTGTCAGAGGGGCCGCTGCCCACTTCCGTGCTGCTGGTGTCGCGACCACTGCGGCCTGCATTGGGGCGGGCCAGGTCGCTGCTGGTGGGGCTGGGCGTCCGGGTGGTGTTGGTGCTGGGAGTGGTGCTGAGGTAGCAGCTGTTGTCGTCGTCCTCTTCGGTCGGACTGGTGATGTCCCCCGGGGTCTCGTCGCTGCCACCAAAGGAAGCATAGTCCACAAACGAGTAGATCACGTTGTTGTCCTCGAAATCCCAGCGGGAGGCTAGCCCCACGTCGAAATCCATGTCCTGTTCCACCTCACTCAGCTGGATCTCATGGGTGGTGATGTAGTGAGCGTCTTCGACTTTAGGGGGGTCCCTGCTGCCCTGAAACTTGGCAATAATGTCCCTGCACTCTGTTCCATCTCCTGCCCCTCCTCCCCCTCCTCTTCCTTCTCCTTTTCCTCCTCCTTCCCCTCCTCCTGATTTTTTCCCCCCTTCTCCTCCCAAGGGCTGGCAAACTTCGCTCTCACCACTCTCACTCTCAAAGCCTAAGGATGAAGAGGAGGTGGCCAGAGCCCCCGTGGATGTGGTGGAGTCCTCCATTTTGGAAAGGCCATCCTCTTTTGCTTTGTTCACCGGAGAGGAAGACGAGGAAGATGAGAAGTTGCCACCCTCTTCAGAGGCAGACTGCTGGGATCTGGAGAGTTCAGAGGAGGCAGGATTTTTCTGGGGCCTTGGAGCCTGGCACTTTTGACCGCTGGGTTCATCTTGGGCTTTCTCCTTTGGGCTCCTATAGGCCCTCTGACCCCCAGGGCAGTGCCCCAGGGTAAGTTTCATGGTCCGGGGACTCTCCCTCTGGACTTCAGCTGAAGCGCACATCTCCACATATTTCGCTTCTCGATGGGAGGACGCTGAAGGCTTGGGAAGTGGCCACAGCTGCTGTTTGAGCTCCTGGCTGTCTTGAGCACTGCTCACCCCGACCCCCACCTCTGCCTGTCGTGCTTTGGAATTCAGCTTAGGAGGGGCAGTTTCCATTATGAGCCCTTGCCCACGTTTCAGCCACAGGAAGAGGCAATGGTGAGCGCTGGGGAAGTCTTCGGTCCCTCTCTGGCTCCGGAGGGGCTGCAGAGTTACCCGAAGCAGGGTCCCACGTGTCTGGACTGGCCCCAAGGCTGTAGGCACTGCTGCTACTGCTGCCACCACCTCCCAGTTCTTCAGCCCCTGTGGCGGGGCCGCAGCAAGCCTGAAGGAGGCGGGAATGCTCCTGGATGGGGTGGTGGAGGTGGTCTGTGGCTGGGGGGCTGCTGCTCTGGCCGAGACTGTGGCCAGTGTTCTGTAGCTGAGCTGTCCTGTCCAGTTGTTTGCCTGGCACCGTCGGCCACAGCGAGGAGTCTGAATGCCATCGGCCACGGAAGAAGCAGCATCTGTAGGTTGACCCCGGGACTCCCAGAAATGAAAGGAAAGCATGTGCTGTTTCTTGTGAAGCGTTGTCCCTTTCCTGGATGGGGCGAGAGAGGGTCACGTCATTCCAGAAATATTTTTAGTGTCCATTCCCTAGTCATATCGAAACTACACTTGAGGGCAGAAAGAAGAGGCTCTAACGAGATGAAAAGAGAAGGTTGGGGGTGGAGGTGGCATGTGGGTTCTAATTCAAATCAGCCAAATGTTCTATGTAATCTATTATAGCGATGTCTAGCAAGTATGAAATTATTCTTTCCTCACAGCCATCTTTCACTCTCAAGTTTTTGATTAGCTGGCTCCCCCCACTTGTTCTTAAATAAAATTCAAATTTTTCACGCATTTCAAATGAATTAAGGACACTCTGGAAATATTTCAAAAGTCTCCCTGGTACATATGGTAGCTTTATATTTGCCTCAAAATCTATGCATTTCTTTTTCTTTGGAGAGCCAAATCAGATGAGTTTTGGTAGTAAAACTTTTCGTAGGAATAGAATATTCCATCCCTCTTTCCCCAAAGGTACACACTATGAAACATGACCTGTTTGTTTCAAAATAGAAGAATCTCTCCTAGAATTCTTACTGTGGTGACTCAAAGTATAAAAGGGCAATTTTCAAATACCTAAACTTAACACTTTAAATACATTTTTAATTATAGTCAGTATAAAGGGCATGAGGAGCCCAAATTGACACTACTTCAAATCCCTACAGTACCTTAATCAGTCTCAAAAAAGTTCCCTAAACTTGTAGAACCATGGCAAGACAATAAACCTCCAATTAAATATAGCCCAAGCTGCAGCCTCACGATTCAGTTACACTGGCTGAATTCCAGGCCTGCAGGGCTCCGAGTCAAAAAGCAAAAGAATAACAAATACACTTACCCTTCAAGAGTACAGTGTGGCTTGGAGGGAGGTTCAGAGAGGAAATGTGACCCACTGGCATGCCCCATGGAAACGAAGCCAAAATCCCAGTTCACTGGCTCTGAAGCACATCCATTTCAGACAATTTGGTAGTTGTGCAAGTAAATTTGCCAGTCAACTTGAGATGGGGGTCTGTGCTGGCCATCCTCAAAGCTGACTCCTTGGGTACTATTGGTGGAGAACCATGATGCTTGATTTTGGTGAGATCTGACCCTTGTCACCTGCTAGGCCCAATTTCACCACTATACATAGTCTATGTGTCACTTATGCCGATTGAATAAAGCACTATTTTAAACATCCACATTTGCGGGAACAAAAATAACATCATCTACCATTCCCTTCCAACATGAATGCCACCTCCACACAGAAAAATGTTCTTTCCTCTGAATAGGCATGTGGGTAGGTATGGAGTGGGAGCCCCTAACAACTGAAGCATCTACCTTTTCCGACTTGGGCTGCGGACAGCACAGGACTGCCACCCTCCCCACAACTCCCTTCTGCCCACACCACTGCCATTAAAAAGATGACTTCAGGCAAGACTCAAAATACCAAGAATCACGAAGTAGCCATGAAGCCAGAGCTGTAGGTGAGGAGAGTAAAAGACGAAAGGAAAAGGAAAGAAAGGAAGAGAATGAAAGAACAAAGAGAGAAAAAACCTGCTGAATGTGCAATCAACGTTTTGATTATAGAGAACCATGTTTAATATCACAAAATCTTAGAATTTTTTAATTTTTTATTTTTTTGAGATGAAGCCTCACTCTGCCACTCGGGCTGGAGTGCAGTGGCACGATCTCGGCTCACTGCAACTTCCGCCTCCTGGGTTCAAGCGATTCTCGTGCCTCAGCTTCCTGAGTAGCTGGGACTATGCCTGGCTAATGTTTGTATTTTTAGTAAAGATGGGGGTTCACCATGTTGGCCAGGCTGGTTTCAAACTCCTGACCTCAGGTGATCCACCCGCCTCAGCTTCCTAAACTGCTGGGATTACAGGCCTGAGCCACAGTGTCCAGCCCTTAGATTCTTAATGATAGTAATTACAATATTCACAGCTAAGACTTACATAGCATTTAGTATGTGCCAAGAACTACTGAAACATTTTTAATGTGTGTGTATTAATTTATTTGATCCTCATAACAACTTGATGAATTAGGTGTAATCATTGTTCTAATTTTATAGATGGAAAAGCTGAGGCAGAATGATGTTAAGAAATTATGTGGCAGACTTTAAACCCAAGCAGTCCGGCTTCAGAGCTTGGACTTCATGCCACACAGTGTTGCTGACTTCCATGCTCAAACTCTGCAGGGCACCCAGTTAGAAGGAAGCCACGTATCTATCCACTAGGCAATTTCATGTCATCTGCATGACCACAAATACACCACATAACTTGCTTGTTTATTCTGGTTTTTCATATAACAAAACTGTGTACACATTATGTACCCAGGGATTAAGGATCATAAGTCTACAAATAAAATGAAATAAAATATAGTTGGCTACTTTAGGCAAACTGAGTATTTTCAATGTCCCAATTTAATTGTGCTTTGAGGCTGATGGCGCCTTGGATGATAAACCCTGAACACAGCCATGAGCATTGTGGGACACACATACTCCATAGCGGAATAGAAGGCAGAGTTTCTGCCCATCAAGGCAATTATAGTCTAAGGAGGAATTTTTCCAGCACTTTTCATATGGCCCTGTCTGTCATGACAACAGATTTCAGCAGAGTTTCTCTCTGCAGTTGGCACACTACAAAATTGGAAGGTCATGTGCCCTAAGTGTAGGTTAAAAGATAACTGCTTAATACCCAAAGTTATGAAAATCCACCTCCAGCATCTTGCTTCCTCCACAGAGCACAGCCCTAGTTAAAACTCCCCAAGAGGCAAAGAGAGAGCATCATTCTGACAGTAGTACTTACCTCCACAGTATCTGTGTGGCTCCTTTACTGCTTTCTGTCTAAATGAATGCCAGTGTAGGAAAAAATTTGAAGGGAAATCTTTTTCAAATGAAGTCAATATCCAGTCGGGTTTAATTCAACCTACATATTCTCTTTAAAAATCAAACGAGCTGAAAATTTGGAATAGAACAGACTCTATTAAAAGAAAAAACAACTGATAAATAGAAAAACAATGAAGGCTAAAATGAAACAATTAAGAACCCCAAACTGCTTGCCCTCTGGCATTTTCAGAGTTCTGGTGCAGTATATGTTCCCATGAAAATTAATGCTGTCAGTTTTGTTGAAATAACTTGCAGTCATTAAGTAGCCATATAGCCTTTTATTTCTTAATATGACTACAGTCATTTTTTTTACAGATGAACTCAGTGATTGCCTGCCTCATCTCAACTCTTGAGCAATTAACAGTGACTAATGTCACCAGCATTACACCATATTAAGCAGGCACACTTGCGAGCCCAGGCTAGGTACACTTAGCTGATAACTTTATATGGGAATTCAAAGAGTAACAAAGGAAATGACTCAGTATCATTATTTTTATCTATGCAGAGAAAGTTTCTTAGCATTCCCTGAAAGTGTTGGAGATGATAGTATGTAAAAGAATGAAGGCCAGACTATCCACCAGTTGGTAAAAGGACATGGCTATATTTATGGTTTCTTGACAGTAGTATAATATGATAAATAAATATGTCATTCAAAAGAAAGAACGGTTTATCAAAGGTAGACCACTAGGCCAGAAATGAAGAGTCAAACTGAGACTCAAATCCGCGTGGAATCAGACATTCTCAGGATTTTCTGGGGTGTGACAGGTGAAACGTATTCTCTGAATACCTTAAATTTTGTGTAAGGCTTTCAGTAGACACTTGCACAGCTATTCACACACTGATGTGAAGGAGTCTTTTACGTTGGACACAGCTTAATACTCAGAGGGTGACCAGTTTTTTCTCTTCCTGACCCTGGTAGGCACTCGTAAGAATTACATCCAGGGGAAAGGCACCATATTATCTTTTTTCCTGAGGTGACAAAGAGTGTTCGTTATTTGGCTATCAGGGTAAATGCTGTATATATTTTTGCTTATTTGTCCCCTCCATCATACCATAAAAAAACAACTATCATTCCCATTTTATAGATAAGAATTGGAAGCTGAGTGAAACATGTGCCCTGAATGATTTTTCATAATGGGTAAGTGCTAGAGCCTTGATTAAAACACAGCTGTGAGTGACTGGGTCATGCTAAGTTGATTGAGCATTCAGTCTATTTGGTGGAGGTCACAGGGTCATCCCCACTCCTGGCCAGTTAGCTGTTTCACAGCCTCAACCAGCTGCCTGCACACAGCCCAAGGAAACGGAGTGGCAGGATTAGTATAAAACTACCCCAGTGAATAGAAAAACAGCATGTACCATGGGGATGAATAAGTAGCACTATCTTCTTGTGCAAAGAAGAGCACGTTATCATAGAATCATGCCATGCACATTGTAGATGCAACCCGTTAGCTATGCCACTAAAACTTGGAAGGACAGGAAGAAACTATTCACCACCAGAAATAAAATCTTACCAACAGCCTCTCAAGGCCTGCACACAGAGGTCAGAGCTGATGCAAAAATGTTTGCTACTTTCCCCCTTGAGTCAGGTTGTATATCAAGGAGTCACTCCTCTCTGATCTCCCTCCCTTTCCTTCTCCTCTCTAAATGGTCTCTTAGGCATTTGCCCTCCCTTTCCTCACTCCCATTGCCCCTCTTTTTCCTCTTAGCACTTGACTTGTTATCCCAGATAATAGTTTTCATCTGGCTTTCTCTTAAGGGCGTTATGGAGGTTTTGGTGTTTCAGATCTTGCTGGGTAATGGGAAAATTCTTCCTCCTAGACCAGCCTCAGAATGAAACATCGACAGGACAAAAAAATCTTTTCTATATAATACTGGCAACTTCAAATAGCCTAATCCTAAATCTTGGTCCATCTTATCCAAGACCTCTGTCTGTTAGCCCAGAATGCATGATGTAGGGCCCAGAGAAGTGAGTGGCCAAGGATACCCTCCCCAGTGTGGAGGGCAGGACAGAAAATCTGCCTCATTAGACTTTCAGAAGTTCCTGTAAGTTTTGTCAGGTTGATGATGAAACAGAGTTTAATTAACCAGCCAACTCACATGCCTGTCTACAGAATCACATGAATGACTTACTTCTGTGTTTTTTTTTTTTTTTAGAAATAATTATTTCTTGCCTTTTAATTCTTGATATTGTATTTTGAGCCCTAAAACCATGTTTCTGTTTCTGTTTATTTTGGAAAATGTTTCTTCTCCCTACACACCTGGTTTCAGACTTCGGCAATTTCAAACATAAGCCTGTAAAGAAATACTCAATATTTTATTTTTTAGCTTTCGATTTCTATGAATATTGTTGAAAATTATTTAAGCTATCATGTCTTCCCTTTCTTCAAATCTCACATTCAAACCTTCACAAACCTCAAGTACTGAGATGCAAATTAGAGCAACTTTTTAGAAAACAATCTAACCATTTATATTTATCAGACAAAATGGAAAGATTATGAGGGCTTAATATTGTATGCATGAGGATGCTTATTGTAGTGCACTATGATGGCATAAAAATTGGAAACCACCTAAATATCAATCAATAGAGAAAGGATTGACTGACTACAGTGAATGCATACCATGAAACATTGTGTAGACATTAATTCAAATGAACAGTTTTAACCTTGAAAGGATTTCCATGAAAAGAAAATTGAGGAACAAAATGTGTTAGTACCATTCCATTTCAAAAATAACAATAACAGTAATATCCATTTAAGTAAGCACACAGTTCTACAGCATAGAAAATATTATGGGAGTCCGGGCATGGTGGCTCACTCCTGTAATCCCAGCACTCTGGGAGGCCGAGGTGGGTGGATCACAAGGTCCAGAGATCAAGACCATCCTGGCCAACATGATGAAACCCTGTCTCTACTAAAAAATACAAAAATTAGCTGGGCGTGGTGGTACGTGCCTGTAGTCCCAGCTACTCAGGAGGCTGAGGCAGGAGAATTGCTTGAACCCAGGAGGCAGAGGTTGCAGTGAGCTGAAATCGTGCCACTGCACTCAAGCCTGGCACCTGGCGACAGAACCAGACTCTGTCTCAAAAAAAAATAATAATAATAAAATATTATGGGAGTGTAAATACAAAACTAACATTGCTTTTGTACATTAGGGAAGGTAGAATTCAAGAAAGGGATGGGTGCATTGTTACATTTTCTTTTAGGTAGCTCAGTGTTGTTTGAATTGTTACAACAAACGTGTTTTTCTTTTATAATAGAATAAGTAATTTTATTTTGGAAAAATGTATTTTCTCTATAACTTTTCCCTAAGTTAAACCCAAACTAATCTGAAGCTAAGAGTTGAAGCAAAAATATTCACAATGGAATAGACTAAAGACAGACCTTTTAGCTTAACTTCCTTATTTTATCAGTACTGGAACAGAAGTTTAGAGAAGTGACTTGCCCAAGGTCACACATCTATGAATAGGTGAGGAAGACTAAAATTCATTTCTCCTGACCTCAAATCAGTGCTTGCTCATGTGTTGTTCAAACTTTGACATCAGAGTGACCAGAAGGAAGAGGAGACTTAAATGCATTCTCAAAAAAATGTGGTATATTCTCTTAAAAGGCAAAAAATTTCATTGTGACATATTTTATCTTAAAAACTATGTGAATGTAATCAACAAACTAGTGTCACATGTAACAACATGAAGGAATCTCACAAACCTAATTTGAAGGAAAAGAAGCCAGTGGCAAATAGAACATACTATATGATTCTATTTATATAGAAATCTAAAACAGGACAAAATAATCAGTGATTAGTTGGCAGTCAGGGTAGTGGTTAATTTTAGTGACACTTGGGCTCTGGAGTGCTGGTAGTGTTCTATTTCTTCATCTGGGTGGCAGTTACGTGGATGCATTCACTTTGTAAAAGTATATTGAGCTGTGTCCTTATGACTTTGCACCTTTCTGAATAAATGTTATACAATATAGTCATTAAGAATTAATGCGATTTTTATAATCATGTCTGTTTTGATATATGTATTTTCCAAATCTTGAAATAAAGTTTATGGTTTATGAAAATATGCAATATTTATCTTGTCCTTACCATACCACTTGGTACACTGCAGAGTCCCTCCAGAGGTGTCAGTGCCCTGGTGTGAGAAGCGGGGGGGGGTCAGAGCCAACATTCAGGGCATGGGCAGTGCCACACTGCTTGAGTTTGAATAGTGACTCCACTATTCCTAGTCATATAACCAAGGACATGTAATTTAGCTTCCCTGTATCCCAATAGGATACATTTCAATAAGGTTGTGGAGATTAGTTAGAGAATACATTTAATGCACTTAGTATAGAACCTGGCCCATAGTAAGCACTGAATAAAAATGCTAATGATTGCTAACCATTGTTGTGCTATGGGGAAATTTTAACCCTTCTTCCACTATACGTGTGTCTCCACCCCCTACCACATACACACCAGGACATTACACATTGCTTTGCATTTATCAGATGCTCAATTTTTTAGCTGAATTGAATGCAAAAATTCTCCATGGTCTATAGAAAAAAATTCAATCTCCTTAGTTCTCTTTTAAGGTTGTCTCCCATTTCAGTTTCCACCTATTTTTCCAGTTTTAGTTTATTCACTGCTTTATATAAATCCCCTGTCCCAAACACAATGTCTAAAACCATTCCCACAGATGCCTTGAATGTCTTTTTGTCTCAGGAAGTTTCTTTGCACTCTACCCATTTCCTGAAATATCCATCCTCCTTCTCTGTACCTTCTATAATTTAACCAATCCTTTTAAAATTGAGACTAAATTTATCTCCCATGGCAATGCTTCTAATCCTTTTTTTTTGATTCACAAAACCCTTTGAGAATTTCACAAGTCACCCTTTTTTAAAAAAATATGCACATGTATACAAACTACCCAGTTTTGGAAGTTTTACAATCCCCCTGAATCCTAGATCAGCCCCCCATCTAGGGGTCCCCAGTCTACCATCACCATCACAAAATGACTCTTTTCTTGATGTGCATAGTAATTACTCTCTGGACTGATACTGATCCTTCTTTTATTGAAATTTGCTTTCATTTGTATGTGTTTTTCCTTTCACCTTGAATGTCTCTTGAGGATAAAGATATTGTCTTATACATTTTTGCTTGCCAACAATGACTAGGCAATGTGCATCTCACATAAGGAGAACACAATAAAGAATTGCTGACTAATTGACTCCTGATCATCTATATTCTTTTCTCTGTTGATCTCATTCTGGCCCTTTATTTTAAACATTTTCTGTTTACCGATGATTGCTAACTTTTATGCCTTTGCCTAAACAGTGTCTTCAATTCTAACTCACATATCTCATGGGCTACATGACATTTTCATGTGGATGTCTGATGGGCATCACAGAGGTTAGCACATCAAAAAGTGAACTCGTCATTGTTCATGTCAAACTTCCCTCCAGCAAACCTTATTTCTA